AAAAAAAACGAAACAAAAAACAAACAAACAAAACAAACAAACAAGGAAATGTTTAGTGAGGGTGAGGTAAGGGCGGAGCCCACAAAATTAACCAATTTTTTTAATAGAAATTTTTGTACTTAATTGCTTTCGGCAGTCCTTGAAATAACCGTTTACCCCCTTCCCCCCACGGTATTTCATGCTTTTCCTCTTTTCTCTCTCTCTCTCTCTTCCTGTCAAGTCAGTTTATTTGTCAGTTTATTTGTGCAGTATTATTTCCATTTTTTCCACACCTTTTTATCTCCTTTCTTCTCTCCTTTCTTCGGGTTCTATTCCCAGACTCACTCGTCACATGTGAACAGAGTTTGTTAGGTTTCTCCCTTGATTCAAGGGTTCTTCTCTCTGGTCTCACGGCTCCGATTTTCCTCTATCCTCAAAACCTAACCGGCTGAATTCCAATTCGATCTGTGAGTTAGCCGTGCCCTGACTTTGATCAGCCCAAAGGTTGTTAATTTCTGGGTTCGATTTGTTAGTAAGCAGAGATTGTTTCAGGGTTCAATCTGTGAGTTAGCTATGCCCTGACTTAGATCAGCCAAGAGGTTGTTTTATGATGTCTATAATATTTGAAGGCTTTTTCTCAAGCAGCCTCACCGTTCTTCGTCGCCTAGCAATCCCATTATTATGTGTCACTATGGAATAATTCCACACCATGCAATTTATGACCGAAGACAATTCAGAGCTGTTCAAACTAAAAGAGGCGAAATATCAAGAACAAAAACCACACTAAAGCTATTTATCAAGTTGTCATCATCGAGAAAAGGAACTTGAAGAGTTGCACGTATATAGATGAAATGATATAGTTTAAAAGAGCTAGCACTTGTTCGCCTTGGGTATGTAATTCTTTTCTTCTTCTCTCTCACTTATCAGGTCATGAGTGATAAGATTTACAGGTTTTCTTCTGGTATTATCGATATTTAAGTTTTAAACTCCAAAAACGAAAAGGACAGAAGATAAATAATAAACATAACTAATAAAGAATAAAATGATTAAAAATTGTGTAAAATCTTTTTTGTGCTGTTAATTAGTTTCTGAGTCGAAATTCGAAGTTAAAATCATGAAAAATACAAGAAAAATCCTGTACTAGAACTAAAAAAAGCGAAAACATGTACAAAACAAAACTTTATATGAATTTATATGATAAATGCTGAATCTACTCGGAAAAAATATAAGAATTTTCGCAGAAGAATTCGTAGCTCAAGGAGTGCAAGACAAGAAAACTTCATTCCTACTTCTCATAGTCGAGAGCCACGATAATCGTACAATTAATTTGCGAGATAAGTAGTCCATTTGAAAGAGAGAAAGTCAAAATAAAACCTGCAATTTTAGGTCGATCAATATAACTTCTAATAGCTAGGTTTGCGGAAAAGATTATTATACCAAAACAATAATCTTAGATTTGCCGGCCTCTTGTGAGAACTTTAACACCTAAATTCCAGAATTTTCGACGGATCGATTCCCAGATTTTCTCGATTTTCTGTGAAATGATAATAACTGGTAATATCCTCGAGCGTTTCCGAATTTTCTGTCTGTCTATCTTTTTCTTTTTTTTATACTATAATTGCTTGTCGCCAAAAGATATAATTTTAGAAATTTAAAGACAATTTTCTCCTCAATAATCGCTAAACATTTACCCAAGGCCTGTCATATTTTGGTGTCTAAGATGTGAATAAAAGACATGAGAATAAATATATAAGTCGTAGAGACTTACGTAGCCCATTTGATCGACGAACGATGTTTTCAAGGAAAGTGTTCTGTGGAACCACCAATCCTCGCCGGCCAACAGGCATCACTTCTGTAGAGAAGAAAAGAAATATTTCCACAACACGGTTAAGAATTGTGTGGAAATAGCGAATAGTTAGAGGATCTACAATAAAAGATGGAGTGATAAGAGCCCCGGGAGACGAAATAGCCTGGTTAGAAACGAGTACCCGCGCTCGATGATATTATGGCTCTTTATGGTAAACTTTCTAGTCTCGTGCTGTCTTTGACGAAGTTTGTTGACATGAGGGAAAATGATAAATAAGCGGGGTATTGGGACTTTGGCAGATGTTCTTAGAAAGTCAAGACCGAAAAAAAAAATCATCAACATGGAGCTGGTGTTTGTTCTTTTCTCCCGCTAAAGACGAACTGTTAGATCAACGAGGAATTCCCTACAAATATAAAAATAAGAATTTTTGGGCTTGAAAATGATTTAAAAAAACACGAAATATCCGGTGCACGGCCTCTAAAAGGCACCAAGCTGAAACTGTCATGAATAATGAGAATTGGCAGCGATATATTTTGCACGAAAAAAAAAAGAAAAGAAAAAAAAAAAAAAAAAAAAAAAAAAAAAAANAAAAAAAAAAAAAAAAGAAAAAGAAAAGAAAATTAGTCGATAACTAGAATTAGTTTACTCATAGTCAATAATAATACCGTTTGTGTCGATACGAGAAGAATCGTTGAAACTCATATTGGTTCTAGAACTGTGCCAAGCAACGAAGTATAAGATAACGGCGACTCCGCAAACCTAGCAACAGCAGAACGACTGGGACGTTTGATGACAGACTATAGAACTTCCCTCAACGAAACGTACGGGATTCTTAACTTTCGTTGAATGGTTTCTAACTGATCTATCTCAGGACGAAAATCACCCAAGATTGGTGTTAATATGCGAGAATCAAGTGAAAACTTGCTTGGCATATGGCAAGCGTGATGATCATAATTATACTATTCGATCTTATTGGTTCCTGGCCGGCACAGTCAAGTTTATTTTATACATAATCAGTTGGCCCTCATGAATTTTTCAATTTTTTTTCTGGTCGTAATTTGTAAGATTGAATGAAATTACAAAAACCTTGGTCTACAGGCTATTGAAAATTAAATTTACCAAGCGAAAAATTAAGGAGTATAAGAAAGTTAAGACGAAATATTGCGAAATTACAAAGTTAATATGTACCACAGAAAACGACATTAAAATATGACATTTTTTTTGAATACATGCATACGTAGACGAAATGTTGTTAAACGTGGCTCCAAAACGGTCTCCTAGCGCTCATATGGAGAATTTCAATAAACACAGACTTTATAAAATATTCATGCATTGTGGATGTTGTATTCAGTTCCACGACTTAAGTACGAAAAATAAAAGGGAACTTGTTTTTTGACTTCAGCCAATTATGAACAAAATTGATAGTCATGTTTTCTGTTTTTTTTGTTTTTGCTTTTGTGTTAGTGAAATAAAGTTTGTCGACGCATAGTTTTGGTTAGGACTGCATGGAATAGTTTAGAAGATTCCTTTTAACTTGCCAATTAAATACGTTCATTGTTGTACATCCACCTCTGCAAGAACTTAAGATGATTGAAAATATTAATATTTAACCAACGTATTTGATGAAGAAATCAAAATAAGGATCTTAAAAGACCCGAATAATTATTAGCTATACAGAGAAGGAAACTGTTCTCTTAAGTAATTTTTTTTCCTACGTCAAGATTTGGTAAGATTAACAAAATTATTAAGAAATATATTTTCACGGTCAGATATCAAATGTTTTCTCAGCCAACGCAGAAAACTCTATTTCCATTGTCTTTTTCTTCTCATCTAATGAAGGTTATAAAGTAAAGGTAGTTCTTTGTTCACTAAGATGAAGTTGAGTGGTTCTGGATTTTGAAGTTTTCTTTTCGAAGTTGGAAGTAAAAAAATTATACAACTATAAAAATGTGAAAAAAACAATTTATTGTAAATCAGCTGTATATAAGTACAAAGTCATCATTTCTTTCATATCCAAATGGTAATAACTTCGGTACCAAGAGAGAAGTCGAGGCACAGTCATGTGACTA